TTCGTTATCGATTGCCCGTGGGTTTCCGTCTCGGCCTGTCGACGCGACGTGCGAAGTGTGTTTCGTGCAACAAGTACCTAACGATAAACAATCCTCCTCCGCGGGGGGGCACCATGATTCGGATCCTAGCAATAAATGCTCCCCCGGGAGCGCGTTGTCTCGTTGCCGTGGACACCGTGGACGGCGCAACAAGTTACTTGAAGCCGGCCCGCTGCGTGTGTAATCAACTTTACCAATCGGCAGATTCATTTGTCGGGACGCGCCGGTTCGAGGGTGGATATCCACGTCGCACCGACCGACGAAAAGTCAAGTCCGTTGAGAAAGCATCCCGCCGGCCACCGGGGATCGTGCAAATGAGAGGCTAAAAATGTCGTCGTCGTTATCCGCAGTAGTGCGCACAACAATCGAACGTAGTGCAGAATTAATTTATCACGGAACGACAGCTCAGGATTAATGGCGACCCGGCGAATCCACCGCCGCGGCGACGTCGACGAGCCTCGCGTGTATGAATTATGGGATATCTCGTACAAAATTCGCGGTCAGTAGGACGCGAAAAAAAAGGAGAGAAGGTCGGGCGTCGATGCACGTGTAACCGCGTCTTGCGTGATAGCGCAGGTGGTTTCACAGGTGGAAATCGAGTGAGAGGGAACGGAGGAGACCGATCGATCCATTTTCCCTTTTCCTTCCTCTCCCTATCCGCGTCGATGGTACAAAAAAGAGGAGGAAGCGAGCGATCTCCGATCTTATCCGATGAATTGCTTTCCACGGCTCCCTTCGCGATGTTGTTAAATCTCTCAATCAACCTGTCGTCCTGTCGTGGACTGACGGGTTGCCGCATCGCGATTTCGAGGGAGATGCGTGATAATAAACGGAAAACACGATTTCTTCTGCGTATGCCGGAGACGAAGAAAGAGAAGGAAGGAAGAAGAGAGTGAGAAGAGAGAGAGAGAGAGAGAGAGAGAGAAAAGAAATGCCGCATTCGAGCCAGCAATAAAATCGCAGGGGGACGGAAAGGGTACGTTAAATAACACGCGATTACGTGTTCGCGAAGATTTATTATTCGTCGGTTCGTCCGACCGGCACTCGCATCGTATCGACGCACAGCTCGCCCATTAATCATAGATGGGAAAAATATCCCGAACATGTCGCGCTCAATTCATAGGAGGCTTCAATTGATATAGAGGATTCGAGCTCGATCCTGTGGGCTTTTAATGATTTACAGTAGGCGCAAATGCGATCGTACGATGCGCTTTTCCCATTGTCAGAGGATCACGAACGCTTCGCGTTTTCAGGCTCCGTCTTGATGTAAATCGACGATAACGGGATTATCTCGAATTTCGAGATCCTATCTCGAGAAATAGAGAAACCTCGAGACGCAAGTCTCGAGCGAAACGACGCGAGGAGATTCTCCAAATGCAACGTGACAATAGCATCGCGTCGAAAGCTGTTTTCAGAAAGCCGTTTTCACGACACGGGGACTCTCGGGCGCGTCGTTTAACCCTTAATTGTCGGAGACGAATAAGGGCGCGAGAAAAAGCAGGCCCTCGCAGAAAGCGCGGATTAAGATGGGACGGAGATGATGTTGCCGCGAACGTATGAGAGCCAGCAATCGATACTTGGCTTTTCGAAGGTGGATGACTTATCAGCTCACCTTGATCAGATTATAATCTATTCGCAAGACGGCAGGATTGTTTCATCGTCCCGTCGTTCCTATCTTCTTCTTTCTTTTCTTCTCAATAAGATCATCGCCCCGATTTTCCTCGACCCGTTTCGCGGCTTCTGCTAAATTACTTCGTGTTTATCATTGTTTCCTCTTGAGATTTGGTAGATTAATTGCCGCTTATAGCCTCTGTACCAATGTGTTGGCACAGAGGATTCGCACGGATTTGCGTTATAATAAAACGTGACGCAATAACGCGCATCTTCGATGAGAAATAATCTGATAAACTCTCGTTAATTCCCATATAACACGTACGACGTATTTCGGGACGTGCGGCGGAATGCTGAATGAAATTCTCCCCCAGCGACACGACAGGCACACGCATACACAGCCGCGGAATCGATATACGTGTTTTCGAAAGGACGATGGTTCACGAAGATGAGATTTTATCGGAATCAACGTTTTGATAGGATTAATGGCATTCTGCGGAAACAAGTTACACAATAATTGTGGAATTATGCGGCGATCGATTTCATAACAAACAGGTCCGCACGACAACCAGAAAAGGAAAAACTTGCAGATGAAAACCGTACGAAATAATCTTTGAAAAAAAAAAGAGAAAAGCACGATATCAGCATTTTCTCACGAAGATGGCAATGAACATTTATGATCAATAACGGAACAATTTTTAATTATTATTGCGATATACTCTGTTTGTAATAACACGATCGTAGCGAGTAATGAAATGTAGAGTACACGAAGGAAATTCAATATCCGAAAACTAATTATATATATTTAATTACTCCGTTGTACTCCGTTTTATTTGTCCCTCGGAAAATTCGTGTACACAATTTTCGCATGGGAAGTATAATTTTCTTACTTCCGATTAATTCCATCGCGTGATCCGGAGTTAATTAAAAAAAAAAAATGTGTTCAAACAGATTTAATTTTGATTGTCCAGCACTTCGCAATTTCGCCAGATAAGTACCGCAGTGATTCACGGTTTGTTACTCGTACTTTAAATCATACCGTAGCCTAGCTAGTGGCTGTTAGCCACTAACAGCCAGTGAAATCCAACAACGTGCGAGGTCGTTCCTTTATTTCGCGAGAAGAGAAGCGAGCTGTCCAACTACGACAGCAGCTGCGGCTGCTGCAGCAGCATCTCGCAAGTCGTACCGACGTAGTCGACTGTCGGAGTTACGCTAATGGCCGATAATGGAACCGCCATGGCGACGTTGTAATCGAATTATTCTACCCGGCAGTCTCTCGTGATCCGCAAAACAATGTGTCACGGAAAGAGTACGCCTTCCCCGGCGTCGTTAAAGACGCGAATGAGAGCCTTTCATCGGCTCGTCCTAAAAGAAGAGTGAAATAGATATATGATATATTTAATCCTGGGAGTGAGAAGCCCTTCAATAAAGTTGGTAAAATTCCCGATCTCTTGGATCAAATCCACGCCAGTGGTAAAAACTGGAATTTTCAGAAACAACCGGCGAAATTGGCCACTTCTATTAAAAATGATAAAGTTAACGGGAATCCTTATTATCGGCATTCTAATTCATAGCCCGAGGTGCCTTACATTCTTGAACATTTTGCATTATATCTTGCATATAATCGAATGGTGCGATATATTTTATTGAAGCAATCTATACACTGCGACCGTTATTCGCGACTCGGCTGCTCCGAGTCGCCGGTGCAACACCGACGGGCGACTCTCGGGCCGCTAATTAACTCCGGACCTCCACGAGTCCCTGTGGGCGCCAGGTGCGCGATTCGCACCCACTAACTGCGGGCCCCGCGGTCGGCGTTGCCGTCGGCCACTCGACCCGAGTTCGTCCCGATCGGCAGCTCCGGGGTGATTTTAAGTCGGAGGCCGGGGAGAGCCTGTATGGTCGCCGGTGGCAGTCGGCGACCGACACAGGAATAGGAACGAATGAAAAACAGAAAAGAAAAAGAACAGCGACCTCGATAGCACTCGCGTTTATTTTTTGATCCGTCTTTCTTTTGTTTCAATTGCGTCCAAACAATACAATACGTACTCGCTCGTTAATACGCCGCGGCGGACCCGGGACGTCCGCTTTTCGCGATCGATAATCGACCGGCCGTCGAGCCAAGGGGCCGGGACACCTCGCACGCCACGAAAATCCCAATCACCGAAAAATTAACAATAATAGAATGCGGTGAAGCGGCCTTACAATTGCGGGCTCCCGGGCGGCTGGTCCTCGTCGGTAATCCTCTCTCTTTCTCTCTCGCTCGTTCTCTCTCTCTCGCTGGTCACCGCCAAGGGTCCTCTAGCTCCGGGACTCCTTCACAAAACTTCTCACTCGTTTTTCGACACGGTAGCCAAAAGCGCGAAACGGTAACGTGAGAACGGTAGCTCCGACTCTTTTGCGACGATAGCTCTCTCTCGTTGGTGACGATAACTCCAACTGTTCCCAAAAATTGTAACCGCCAATTCCGTAACGAGAGCTGCTACCTCTTCCCCCTTCCTTTTCGGCAGCCGAATCTTTGCCGGCGGTGCCCGAGTCGCCTCCGAGCCCGCCGCTCTACCGCCGGTCTATCCCGGCGCGGTTCCGCGGCTCCGGGCTCCGTGATCTTAAGCGCGACCTCGGCCCGCCGGCCCTACCGTCGTCGAGGGGTCGAAGGGATAGCCCCGGTGGTGTCGGCAGCGGCCCCTCGTCGGTCATCTCAGAGCAGAGGACGGCGTGGTCCTCCGCCCGGCGGTCGACGCTCCTTCCTCTTCACGCCGCCCTTCGGAGCGGGGTGTACACTCTATCGCCTCTACCGCTACCGCGCGCCCGCGGTCTCCGCTAACTCCAAAAAGAGTACAAACAAGAAAAAACTAATAACGTTAATTCGGCGCGCTCGTATGAGCACGCCACTCGCCCTACGGTAGGGCCTTCGCCCTTGGGACGGGCGCTCCGAGTCGCCACGTCACAATACAGACACGGTTCGTTGAGGCGATCCTCATAAAATGTTGTTACTTGTTTTGTTTCAGCCTCCGGCATTTTCCGTCACTTAAATTCCTAACATTTTTGTTACAGCAAAAAGCGCAATGTCGTTTCAGTGTCGTTTTGAAATCGGATCATGAGAACTAAAACTCATTATTATGTACCGTGTGTATTAAAACCGGCTCGTGGCTTTAAAAGAGTTACAACCATGATAACAGAATACGATTAGATGATGAAGCAAATTATCTTACCGTACTTTCTGTCTCTTAATGACAAAAATATCAGCACGGAGATCGAGTTCAGTCAAAACAATATACGTGCCAGGAAACGTGTTAACATGAGTAATTTGAAAAATGCATTACACACGCTTTCACAACAGACGAATGTGCGTCGGAATATCTCTCGAGCGAATTATTCTCTCATTGAAAGTATCACCGAAGTATTGTTAAAGCATGAAAAGTATCGTTTCAAGAGCGTCTGTTGGCTTTTTCAGTCACGATCGTGATTATGCAAGCGAGGATCCGAAGGCCCGACAAGGTCGAGCGATTCACTTGAACGGCTCGCTACTTTTCTCCGAGAAGAAACATCCAAGCCAAAAAGAAAAGATACAAAACACGCGGGAGGAGAAGGAATGGGCCCTTGGGCCTTCGGCGTACCGGTCATCCTCGTCTCAACTGTGGGCCTCCTTCTCAACGGTTGCGTTCTCCTCATCGTTCTCTGTCTTGGTAAACAGGTGAACAGTAACAAGTAGATACAAACATACGTATTTGTGTGACACTCGTCGTTCCTCTTTTTATCGCACCGTTTTTATCGTATATCATCTCTCGCGTTGGTTTGTGCTTTGTCAGAGCGACGTGACGCACGCCCAAGATCGGGATTTTTTTTACGTAACACATATTCGAAAAACTGAAAGGTTAGAGTCGTGTGATTTTAATAATCGTCGCAATTGCGCGTGCTTGAAACAAATATACGTGTATATTTGTATGTCTATACGGATCGTGCCTTTTCGGGCGGGAATTAAAGTAAAAGAGAGAGAGAAAGAGAGTACCAATATTCGGACATAAATCTGGACATCCTTATTATTTTAGTCTTTAAATACAGGAACATTTAAACTTTCAGCATAAAATATACATATATATTAATGATAGGCGATCTCGATTCAATTTTCAGAAAATCTATCTGTTTTCTCTCCAAAAATTGATCTTTTAGTCGATTTTTTCCTATTCGAATTTCGTATGAATCGATTCTTTCAATAGCGAATCGATTCTTGGTCTGCTTATTCATTAATATTGTTTCGTTTAATGAAAAATTCACACTAAGAATAGTTTTCTTTCAGAATTAAAATAGTGAATGGAAAATTATTACCTTGTCTTAATAATGTTGATTAGTTGAAATCGCAAATGGAGGAATAAAAATGGCGTCCAGGTTTAAGAGATACGGTAAGAGTAGTGCGTGTCGGTTGCCGACGCTGGGACACGTAGATACAATCATTTTTTTCCAGACGTTCTTACGTTCTCTTACGTTCTCTTACGTTTTTATAGCTAAGCGATAATGTAATATTTCCAGCATTTTCTAGCTAATGCGTGATTTTCGTTAACGAGGTTCGGAAAGTACTCAGGGGTGACTGCGAATTGCGTTATTTGTCCCGGATTCTCCGTGTACGCTTTCCAATTTCATGATTTGTGAAGTTTAACGGACACGTCTGGTGAGTTAATGCCGAGATTTGGAAACATCTTTTTCCACTCTTGGATGATTAGACGCATGTCCCGGTATTGGTACTTTTACCTTAACGTTTCCTAATACTTCAGTCGCGAACTCAGCGATATTAAAATGAAAGCAAAATGAAGGCGAATTCTTCGGTAAAACGAAATACCCAGAATATTAACGGCAAAGATCTCGTTTATTCACCCGGACTATTTGTTTACGACCCACGAGGGAAGCGCGAACTATCGTCGTCTTTTTTTTTACTAAAAAGTCTGACCTTTTACTCACGTCCTTCAAAATTCCCAACGTCGTTAAAACGCGAACGGCTCCTGTGTAATTCAACGTCTTAAATGGCACGACTCCAGCGGGTGTTGCGGCGCGAGATTGCGGTTGTTACTTGGGCCATCAAAAATTTAAATTGCAAAATTCCGCCGGTTATTAAAACGTGGCGAAGAAAGCATCCCGATAACGTGAAAGTAAGAGCGACAAACCGGCGAAGTCGACGAATCGCCTGCTATGTTCGCAGACGCAGCAGCAGCAAACAGCGAACACCTTGCTACTAATTCACTTGGGCGCTGTGGAAGCAGCGGTGTGTCTGATATTACTGATTTTTACTACCGGTCCGTGGCCCGTAGCTGGCACGTGGTGTGTCCTTCACGGGTTCTTTTTAGCACTTTTACATCCCGTTGCTCTTTGGACTGTGACCGGATTAAATTGCGATAGGTAAGATTGATATATACGCACGCTCGTAATTATACACGATATTATTTATAATTTATATCTCCGTCATTAGCATAATCTCGTATGAATAGCATTATATAAGTTTAACATAAGAAGGACCAGGCAAAATTTCCGGTTCTTTGTTGCAACTATCCTTATCTGATGACGTCAGAAGCGAGAAAACGCATGCGAGAAATTTTTTCGTTAAACATTCAATTAAAAAGATATTCGGTGACATTAGCGATAGCACATTTGTAAAATTGTCCGAACTTTTCATTTATTCGAATCAATCAATCAAACAAAAATAGTTGCAGCGACAAAAGTCTTAAGATAAAAATATTCCCGCACGACTCCGAGTCGGAATTTAAATGCTACTTCGACGCTTTTCAAGATAGTCTGCGGCTACCTGGGTGGCAGACTAATAAAAATCCATTTTAACAACAATGACATTTATTAATTTCTCTCTTCAACCTTTAGATTCTGCAGATTTAATTTTAATGCTATCTCGAATAATCTATTTTGAAGTTAAAACGATAAACCTAAGACACCATCGGGATCAAAGTAGGAGAAAATTATATTATTAGAATTGAAATCTATTTCGCTGTCTTAACTTCTACCATGTTGTCAAATCGAAAGTTCATACGTACGAGCGAAACTTCGACTTCGGCTTACCCGAAACACATACAGAGGCGCCGACTACTATTTTCTGCCGCGTGAAAACGCCGTTAAGTAGCGCATTTTATACTTAAGATGGGGAAAGAACGTCGATATTGTCCGAGTAAATTGAGGACGAGAAGCCGTGAAAGATCGAAAGACTTCCTCTTACAGGAGCTTCCCGATAAAAATCGAATTCAATCTCGATGTATGACGCGTGACGTATGGAGCGGCGCGAGCGAGGCGTCGGTTTCACTCGGCACAAAAGGCAACAATATTTCCGATGTAGGGTGTCAATAATGATTCCGCAGACTCAAACAGTATCACCGTAGCTGTCAGATGATACGAGACGCCCGTTCGATATAGTCTGTAACCTAGAATCACACTGTCCCATTTCTACTTGTTGCTTATCCTCTTCGCAAACCCGCGCCGATAGTTTTAGGGCGCGTTTCCGGACGCATTATGAATCGCTGGATTGTGCCGGTTGCAAAGGAACATCTCGCCGGAGGATGATCTTGGACGAGATTCAAAAAGAATTGTGTGCGCGTTCCGTTAGCGATTATCTTTCTTTTACTCGTAAAACCAAGTCGAGTCAGTTGGAAATTCGTGCGGCCCTTACACAGGTCGAATTCTCTACTTTCGTATTGCCGCTGTTTTCTACACAATATTGAAAATTGGATCCGACGTTCCCCACCGCCACGAATTTACCTGGTCGACTGAGATATTCCTTATTACTCGTGAGATATTAATTCATTCTTGCGATTCTAAGCGGCGGTATTTTCACTCCTATAAATCGAATTGCCGAGCGAAGACTTTTCTGCAAGATTGAGAAGTGCGTCTGACGTTCACGAATTTGCCCGATCGACTGAGATATGCCTTATTACTCGTGAGATATTAATTTACTCTTGCCACTCAGAGCGGGGAGGGGGGGGGATGTTTTCATTCGTCTTGAGATTTTACACCGAGAAATACGATGATTAGATTCCCACCAACCATGTCGTGCAATTGCTCTATGCAGGTATTACGCGATTGCCGCACCGCTGCATTACGCCGCTTTGGTCTCTCCGCGTCGCGTGGCCGTTGGACTGGCTGCTTCTTGGACAGGTGCTCTGCTTCTCTGCTTGCCGCCATTCTCGGGTCTGGTGCCGCCTTATAAGTTCGTATACATGTTACACCATTAACCACTACTAACGGGCCCGTGCAGCATTTTGTAACGTTGCTTATGTCCTACGTATTCTCTCTCTCTCTCTCTCTCGAAATTACTGCGTCTCCTCGCGTAATAAAGGAGATTCGATTTGCCTCGGGTTCTCTATTTCTCGCTTCCTCCCTCTGCTTTTCGCGCAACTCGTCTCGCATTGAGTAAAGAGCCACGTCGCAAGACAATTCCCGCACCGCCTTACTTCTTCATCTCGGAGCGCGCCCGAAAGAATTCTCATTCGAAGAATGGAAACTTCGTCAGCGGCACGTTGGCCGAGTCGAGCCGTAATAACACGCGTAAACTATTCGTTTTAATGAGACTTTTCTCATTCGGCTCCGGTGAGTTCGATATGGAAGGCATTAAAAATCGCCTGAATCTCGCGAAATGACGTCGCGCGCGAATGATCGATCGTCCTCGGCGGTCGTCCTTGGCAGCGGCCGGGAGACTTTTCGCAAAGTTCCTCCTCTTTCGTTGCTTTCACCATCCTACATCGATCAGGTATAGTCCAGAACTGGGTTGCTGCGCCCCAGATTTCGGGAACGACACTTGGGGCTCGGCCGCGGCGCTCTACGACGCCGTTTACGCCATCCTCGGCTTGGGCCTGCCGGCCGTCCTCGTGACGGTCTGCAATTTACGCGTATTGGGCATAGCGCGTTACCATCGGCATCGTATCGCCAGCGCGATCTACGAGGTCACCCTGAGCGCCCAGGTGACCATCACCCATCAACGCAACCCGTTCTTTGTGCCGACCGTCACCGCACCTTCGGCCGGCGGACCGCCGCGATTTCACAGCGCCGCCAGCACGGTGAGTGAAAACGAATCTGCCAATTATTATCTGGCGAAAACACCTCGGACGTCCGAATCGTGACGGTAGAGCAACTTGACGTTTCCTTCCCCGGGCAAAACAATCGGACGGATTGATTCGTCGCGTCGCTCGATTTAACCAGACTAATCGGGCTAAGCAAGCGAGTCCGTAGTTAAAGCCCGATTTGTAATTGAATTCGAGTTAGCAAGTCAAATCGATAGAAGCGCCGCGCCGGCAGGCATCGGCGATTTACGATCGCCCGACGAAACTTCCACACTCGCGGGCTCGTTCGTCTTTCGTGTTTATGGACCGCAATTGAGTTTCTATTCTAGAAGTTGACCCGACATCTTGCAGAGATATATATATAATCGGTCGCTTCGATATTGACGGCTGCTCTTTTGTTCGTCGTTTATGAAGATAAATAGCTTCGCATAGCGATCGATATTCGCCGGCGTCGCGGCGGCAAAAAGTTCGACAGTCTCATCAACGTCGCCGGCACGACTTTCCAGGTGATGCAACTGGTCGGCTCCCTGTACCTGCTCTACTTTCCGTACTGTGGACTTGTTCTCTGGGAGGCTTGCAGCGCCGCTAACCAGCACTGTCTCCACGCACACCCCAAGCTCGCCTCCTTAGCTTCATTCTTCCTCGCGTGCTCACCGCCCATCAACTGCCTCCTCTACGGCTTGAAATCGCAAACCCTGCGACGATCCGTACAGAACTACTGGCGGAAGAAGGCTACCAAATCGGAGCTGCAGCAGGTTAGTCCGGCGAAAAAATGCGGCTATAAGGTAATTGGTCCGTCGAACTACTTTCTGGAGGAGTTCTTCTGAATTTTAGCTGCATATTCATGGAAATACTCTCTACACGTCTGTAAAATTCGGGAAAGAAGTTGATCATTCGGAAGTTGAAATATCCGCAACCAAGGATGACACTTTTCATACGTATTCCTTGGGGAATTAATGTCCTATTTGTCAATTCTATTTTTCATTTCTCTAACCACATTTATAATGAAAAATTATTGTGATATTAAAGACTAATATAATATCGTATTTATCTTAATTTCGCTCAAAATTAATATTTAATATTTTAATAGTTAAATAATATTAAAGAAAGGCGTTTTTCTTAGTGAAAGAATAAACTTATGTTTATATTAAGAAGCCCCTTAAATGGCCGCTGAAAACTGTGGCACTCTGTGGACCAACTGCCTTAAATGGCGCTCGGTGACATACTATATTACGGCGGTTTACGAAATTTACGATTATCATTGCCGTCGTTATCGTGCCACGTTCTCGCGCTCGACGGATCGTGTTGCCAGGAGATACAGGCGAGGACGCCCAGCGTCGCGGGCTCCAGGCGGCCTTCCGGCAGCGGAAACGCTTCCTTCTTCCCTTTCCCACCTTTGCAACGGAGGCTCAGCGAGGCGTTATTGGCGCTCGGCTCGTGCAGAAGCGGTTTCGGAAGCAATAATCTCGGGTTCCACCGCGGCAGATTGCAGCCCGCCGCCTCGTGCAACACCCTCCGAGTGCCGGCCACCGAATCAGGTACGCGAGGTTTATGCGATTTTCGCGCCGATACTATTCCGCAGCGCGATGTAACTTTCCCATCTGTGTACTCGAGCAGAGTCATTTACGTCTTAGAGAACGTCTTAAGCGAGGGACCTTTGGATCCTCGGCGAAATGACTGATAGTTTTGCAAGATCGATTCTCTTTCTCGTCGTGCACGAACGGAGTCCTTTAAGTCCCAGAGAACGTCTTAAAAGTAAGGACCTTTAGCGAATTGACTGATCTTTTCGAAGGGCCGTTCAATTCTCTCCCGTCGAGTCCTTTACGCTTTCGAGCGCGCGCGGGCCTTTTTACTGTAAAATGACTGATATTGTTGAAAGACCGCTTTGATTCGTTGACGGATAAACGTTTCGACACTGATATGAGCGTCATCCTTTCATCATGACGCGCGAAGGCGAGCCGAGCAAACTGGTGAGGGCGAGTGCGAGCGCCGCCAGTCTGATGGGTCCTCATTATCGGAGCGACTTTATCGGGGCGGATTTGGACGCGGGATGCTCCATAGCAATGTGCGAGACTCCGAGGCGGAGTCCGAGGATTCTCATAACGCGCGCGTACAGCGAGGAGAGCCAGGACGGAGGTAGTCCGCTCTTAAGGAAACCCTTCGTCTCCAATACGAATCCGCCGCCCTGCGAAAGTACGTCTCAGACTATATTCAACATTCGTAGTGCTAGATGCGTTCGCTTCGATCATCGTCCGACGCGAAGTCTCGGATTTAGAATTGTCGAAATAGAGAGAAAGACAACGCGCCTTACGTCACGATGTTTGGATATTTTTACGAAGAAGAGTTAGCAGAAGGAGTTAAGATGTAGCAGCCGTGGCAGCTGAGGTTCGTAATGATCATGGCTTGAAACTAGCCTCGCGTGAAGTATTGCCGGTTGAATTGGTTTATTGGTAACTTGGATTCATCTTAAAAAGCCCGTGTCTGATTCTGAATTGAGTGTCTCGCTTGAGAGAAATTTCAAGTAACGATTATCGATACAGGCCCAAGATGTTCCTTCGCGACAGAGAGAGAGAGGGGGAGAGAGAGAGAGATAATTGACGTAGTCGTTGCTATCGGAGCTCAATTCATCAGCCGTTCGGTGACACGAGAGCGAGAAATATGATCTGCCAGAAGCAAAAGGTGCCTCAGCACACGTGTACGATAAGATACGCAGGAACGGCTGCCACTTCTTTAGCTGCTCGTGCTAATGCGCATTTTCATTTCAGCTCATAGATTATTGCCTCGCAGTGAAAATGCGTATCTATGATAGCCTGCTCTCCGCAATGACGGGAATACGGGTAGCCTATTTAACGGCGCACGAATCGGCAACTGAGAATCAGCCGATAGTATTGAGTTATTTCTTTGCGTGTGCAAATCGATAGAGAGAAAAGGGTCACGCGGGAGCCGACGCGCGACGGAGGTGGAAATGGCGTAGAGGTAATACCGGTAACGTTACTTCCACTTTCTTCGCGCGAGTCTCTCATTCTTCCTCCTCATGTGTATGTATAAATACGATTTTCTCGCTGGGGGGGGTAAGGATAAGAGGAACTACATCGGCATGGTATCAATCCGGTAGCGTATCGTCGCAAGTCCCGTCGTAGGGAAATTCGCGTCCGACTTTGTTTCACGAAGTTTTCCGCGCGCGTGCACAGAACGCCGATGGAGGCACTGTAGCACCGGCAGCGAGAGCAGCACGGGCAGCAGCGATGCCAGCGTGTGGACCACCGGCGTGCCACCGAAATACGTGAAGGGCAACGCGAAGAGCACGGACGGCTGGTCGTCGTCGCGGCGGTATGTACGCGGCAAGAACCTGGAGGAAGGCGCCTTGTCCACCGTGATCAGGCCGAACAACAACAGCGAGAGCAGCGACACCACGGATACCACGGCCACGACTACGACCACCACGCTGCTCAAGTCCTTCATCATAGTAAGTACATAGATAAATATCTACCGCATTCAAGGGAATATTACTTATTTTAAGTACTCCATAAGTTTATATATCCGCAAGTATACTATAAGCTCGTCGTGAACATGAAATTTGCTCAGCTAATATGTTCTGAATTCCAGTAAGTGTTCAGTACTTCGATGAAGAACGTGAAATTAAAACGCTAAAAATGAAAATTTCGACTTACTTGTTCTAGATAAGCGAATTGAATTGTTCTCCGATAAAATGTAGAATATTTTATATAATTCTAACGTTAAAATGGATACAACTGTAACGTTACGTTTCAGGAAAGTAACGGACAGAGCGGCAGGGAGAAAGAGAAGGTGAACGGCAACATGAAGAAGAGGGAATACAGCGAGAGCGACAGCAGTTGGAGCAGCGTTGAAGAGATCGAAACCAAGGCGATAACCGAGAGGAACGACGAGGACGACGATCTCGGGAGATCGGCGGGTGAGCCGAGATTGCCGCGGCGCAAATCGAAGGGCGGTTCCGGCAATCACGAACCCGAAGTTCCCGAGGACCGGGAAGAAACCGCACAGCTGAGGCCCCTCCTCACCTCCTCTTAAGCTCGCCTCCTAAGCGTATTTTCCTTTGGCTAATCCGCTCGTGTCCCGGATAAAATGAGATTTCGCCGCCGTACTTAAGCAACACTGATATTCACAACGTTAACAGGGAAATATGTAGGCGAGCAGGACACCCCTCGTGGCGCACACACCCGATGAGTTCGCGTAAACAAACAGTCGACTCTGGTCAATTGCATGCAAATTATTTTCATAACTCGCGTGTGTATCGACATCGAGAGAGCGGAGCGAGAGAAGCACCCGAACGGTCCGTAAGAGCGTTTCGTACCAACGGGACACGACTTGGATTCTTTCTCGCGCCCTCCGGGATGTAGAATTCGAGGTAAACGTGAATTCGGCGTATTCTTTATGCTTGACGTCTCAATATATATATATATTTATATATATATATATATATATATCGACATATCCTGAAATTATATTTTTGTACTTTTACTCTGCAACACACGTCGCGCGTGGCGCCTAAAGCGTCCCCCGCAGGAAAAGATGGAGAAACCGATTAATAATTAACACACCGCCGACGAGTTAATCTTTCGACGAGTTTGCTCGCTTGTCCCAACAACCCTCGTGGAATGAGAACGGCAATGAATTACCGGCGATCGTCGCCGCTTGAAGCGGCTCGCGCCGACGACGAATTCGCGAGAACTCGTTACGCAAAGGAAAGTTTCGATTCGTCCTTAATTTACCGAGACGAGTTGCGGAAACTCGTGGCGTGGCAGAACATTGGAAGTCGGACACTCGGGAAAGTTCTTTCGACAGAAAGCGGTAACAACAATCGAATCAAAGGTGGCAACTCCGCGGAATGTTCGGACGTTCCGCGCCGCGGAGTTTTCCCACCCGTTTACGGATGAATCAGTCAATCTCACGCGTTTGTCTGTAGTCAAGTTTCGCTCAGTAGTTAACCGTATTGCATTTCTCGACGTAAACTCCATGGCTCTCTCGCGACCGACGTTTATGCGCGTATACTCATTAGCGATATAGATGGCGCAGGTGAGAGAGCAGCAATTAAACGATGTAGCGTTACACACGTAGCCGTTGGAATTGACGCTCCAAAGCTCGCGTAGGGCATATTTGTGCGTACCAATCAGATGTTTAATCAGATATCTCGACGTTATTTGGTCGTTTCGCGATTATCATGCTACGGCAGGAATACCTTCGTTGCGCTGAGAACGTTGTTAGAGTACAATTGCTGGAAGAGTCGGTATTCGCGCGCTTCGTTCTGTCGGCCAATGTTGGGAAGGTTACTTTGCAGAAGAAGTGACTCTCGTCGCCGTAACGAATGCGCAACATGACAGGTCGTCGCTGGAGAACTGTAATTTGTAACGGCGACGATGTTACTTCTTAACTCTGTTTAAGACGTTGATATACTTGTGAATGACTGTTGAACTCTAGTCATTCCGCGATTCGTGTATACTTAGTTTATATTTATGATTCCACCGATATGATTTAGGTATTATAATGTATCAGTTATTATAGTGACAGATTTCGCAGGAATCGTCGAGTTGTAATCGACGCTTGCTTTAGCGTCGCGTGAGTACGGATCTGTGTGCGTGCGTATACGTGCGTACGTGCGCGTGTCTCTCATCGTATATTTAATTTATATAATATCGTTGTTAAATATATATCGTTACAACGCCGATGCGACACTTTATTATCGTACGCACGAGACCGTTAATCGTTTCCATGCGTATGTCATGACGTCCATGTATAATTCTCGAATATGATAGAATCGCTTAGCCATGAGAGAGAGAGAGAGAGAGAGATAGAGAGAGAGAGAGAGAGAGAGAGAGGAAGAGAGAAACCGAGCTGCTTATTCATTCGTCAATTAGGACCGTACGAGGTGCAGCTCGGCTGCTATTGATGATAATAATTGCGTGTCCTTCGCGATCGTTGTCGTTGACGATGACGACGAAGCTTCAGGAACTTTGTCGGGGGCGGGTGTTGTATCAATGTTAATAATATTATCAAGAGTTGCGACATAAAAAAAAAAGCGATGTCTGAGTGTACGAAGTTAGTGCAATAAAAAGAGAAATTATCTTCCTCGTGGAAAAAAGATTCGTGATGCCGTGCGACACAATCGTATTTTGCTGATATTTTTTCGAGAGTACGCGAACATTTCTCAACAGGCCACTTTTGCGTCTCACTTTTGAAAGCGTTCTGGAGTTCGGGAAGACATCATTTCAAATGTAAATAAGGATCGTTAGATATGCCCGAAGATAGGCGCCCCTTCCACGACGATGCTATTACCAAAACGTGTTTTACACGCTTCCTTTCTTCTTTCGTGATCCCTCCGTCACGTTCCTACATCGTGGTATACGGCGGAGCCGGCGGTACATCATTCAACGTCCAGCAGCGGCCGACTTCGGCGGCCTTTCGTCGTCGCGTATCCTCCATGAATAAATTCGTGTCTACCGGTTTCTCGGACGATCTGAAATTTCTGGAGGATTTTTTTCGCTCGTGTGCGCGCCGAAATTGCGCGAGATAGCGATTCGATTGAATTCGCCGGCCGACGGAAATTTGGCGGAAAACGTGTATTTGCGCGCGGCCACGTGGAAAGTGCGCTCGGTTGTGAAGTGCGGAACACAGTCCCCCGTCGCGTGAGCTGAAGTTTACGCGCTCTGGTCGGAAGGATGGCCGAGAAGTGCTGTTTAACGTTCACATTCGAGGAACAGGAGGAACGAAGGTACGAGCGCGCGTGCAATTAATGCAGTCCGGTGCGCCGGCATTCACACTATGCGATTCTTCCCATTCTCTCGCTGCTGAATCGTATTGTTGGCAACGTGCGAGTCAGAAGAGCTATGTTTCTCAACACTTGATCGACGGGACGTTTACACGGTAAAACATTTTGGGTTAAAAACGGTCAACTGAAATTTTATTACCTTCAACATGGGGAATCGGTTGAAAAGCGCACGATTATTAATTTAAAAAGTGCACAAATATAATGTTAAATTAACATCTTGTCAACATATGTTGTTGTTTCAGTTGTGATTTCAGTGGACTATTTTAACACAATATTTTTTACCGCGCGAAAAACTGTGCGAAAAGCTGTATTTTTCGAAAAACTGTGCGAAAAACTGTGTTTTTCGACTATGCGCGAATGATAGAAAGCGCGGTGCCTATTTTGTGAAAGTTTGCATATCATTGAAGAACAGAAGACATCTCGTAAAATACACGAATATCGCCGATTGGTATTCCATAAGATGCTTCTTCATTTATGCTTTAAGAAAGACCTATTCGAGCGCGTATTTACATCTTTGACGCGTGCCATGTCGGACTAATTTGTTTACGTCACTTGTCCATGTCATATGAACCACCAGTGATGGCCCACGTTGTCGTATTATGAGCTAAATTTTCTTTGTCAAATACCATGTGTATGTCATAATAATGATTGAAGTTCAAGATCATGTTTCGCTTCGGAGCCGAAATATCAAACAGCTTGAACGGGAGGATCACCTGTTGATTAAATGATTCGATAGAAGAGTTCTTTAATTCGTGCACATTTTCGGTTACCTGCTGTAGATCAGAGTTGGGACGTGTCAACGCCCGTCGGTTAAGCGTTAAATATCAAGTACGGTTGAACGCCTTGATGGTCATAGCTGGCCGGGACACACACCATCTTACTAAGTAACGTATAAAGTATGATTGGTGTATTGTGATAAAAGTGTATTTAAAAACTCGTCGTTACGTAAGATAGAGAGGAAGAGAAAAGAAAGAAAAAGAGACAAAGGAAGGAAGGAGGAAGGAAGTGAGTGTAGCGGAGAGAGGAGGGGGATAATGGAACGAAGTAAGAAGAGATAGGAAGGGAGGGTAGGGGAAAGAGCGAGCGAGAGAGGGGGAGGGCAATAAAAGTGATAAGAGATGCATAAATGCGCTGCATGCGTCTCGAATCACATTTACTTATCCCGTCTTTGATAATTCAGATTGATCTTCTGTGCAATCAAGAGAAGTCAACGTTTCAAAAGAATAGCTATTCATCGAGCGTAAGCACGCCGTGGAGAGATGGTTCATAGCTTCACACGGATATCCCATATATGTTCCTCGAGAAAGGAATTTTCGGTCGGGCTCTCCTCGAGTTCTGAACTCGCGGAGATGTTCTCGTTGATTCTGTGGCTACGGTCCTGCCCGTCGAGCATTAGACTCATCGCGCAGACTCGCATCGATTCACTCGCTCAGCTGATGGATTTTCCAGTATGCGCTGCGTTGTGCAATTCCGCTCCGTTTGAACTCGTTGGAGATACTCAGCGTTCCAACGGGCATGTCTTCCGACCGAGTTTGAGTATCGGGCTGTGCAAGTGTAGTTCTCCCTGCGTTCACACGACGCTCATTCGCCTCATTCCTTCGTATCTAGTCTGTGCGCTCGTAAATAACGCTGGCGACTACGTTTTCGAGTGTACATCCCTTTTAACTCAGGCTGAGGCCCGAGAGGTCCGACGTTACCTTGATAGTCAAAATCCGTGCACCATATTCCACATAGAACGTAACGGTCGCCGAAATGGCGTGGGATTTCTCGGCCCGCGCTCGTCGAGGAAGCTCACACGAGGAAGTGCGTTCGTAGATGATGAGAAACGGGCATGTTTACCAAGTGAGTCGAAGTGGTCGGAAATCAATGCAGCCAGGAAATCTCGGTAGATAGAGATCCCTTTTGTTGTGATAATGAATGGAGTTTCTCCGTAGAGAAAAGTCATGACTTCCTCGTCTTCGTCCAGTACGAGTTCGGTGTGCACCAACGTGGACGATGCACGCCGGTGCAACGGCCATGGGAGGAACAAGTTCCTCGGCTCCGAAGACGTTGGCACCGATTGGCTGCTCGGTGCTCACTCTTCTCGCGATTCAAAGCGAGTTTTTGCAGAATTTCAGATAAACAAGTGAGTGACAAAATGTGTCTGTGTAATATCTGCCGGGCATTCAAGTCACGCCTAATGTCTGTTTTATCACTCATTAGTATTAATAGCGTTTAGTCGATATGAAAAGAACATGTAAAGGGACTTTGGAGAGGAAGAGAAGAGCGAAAAGTTGAATAAAATTGCATAAAATTAGCTAATACGAACCATAGATTGTCGGTTTTTATTTCATACTTCAAGGTCGGGTGAATTGGTGCTCATATACAATTAAAAGAGCGGAAAATAACAATTTTTTAAGAGTTGCAAATGAGATGAAAGCTCAATGCAGATTGTCTCCGAGACGGATAATCGCATTGAAATTTTACCTTTCGTGTGTATAATAGATAATGACAATCACCTAGTTTGTTTCGTATAATTTTGAACACTAATAACCTTATTTAACACATTAGATTGTCAAAGCGAAGACACATCTGTAATAAATTGTCTAACATTTTATAAATTGTCGAACATTCGATAAATTGTCTAACATCTTTAACGTGATCGATATAGACATGTTTTGTCAAATGCGTAGTTAGTTGATAATCCTTCATTTGGACAAAACATGCAAAGTAGATCGCACGAGATACACAATATAATAGGACGCTGATTTGTCGAAGACATCTAGAGATGTGGTGGCGAATTGGTCTCTTTTTCTTACTTGCTATAAATCTTGCTCATAGACTGAGACAGAGGAGAAAGAAAGAGAAAGAAAGAGTTACGATACATATTAACCAGTTAACTGTGGCGATCTCTTTGCAAAGCGCCCACCAGTGTGTGTCGCGATAATCAAGCGAGTTAGCTCTCAGGAAGTTATAAATCCAACTCAAATTATTTATAATTTTCATTTGTTTGTTTCATTTCGTCTTGACCTCTAAACATTTTACCCATATTAAAATTTACGAATATAATTTAGTTTTCGCCAGAATTACAATTTAAATATCAAATTGTATAAAATTTTACGCATGACGGATATAGTCGTCATGACACAAGATTCTGCCACATCTCCATGACGGATATAGTCGTCAAACACACTTAACTGGTTAAAAATACAAGAAGGCAAAGTCTTCGTATCTGATTATACTTATCTAGTTAATGTTAAATCATATACCTGCAATTACACCGATGAATCGCACCGATTCCTCGTCGAATATGCGAATCTAGGGATTCGATCAAATATTCGTCGCCTTAATTCGTCCCGAATGAGAAATTTCCTCGCGAGCTTACACACTTGACTCACTTGTTAGACTGGCGACTGTTCAATATGATGAAATTTTTTAAAAGGAGTAAGATGGTGATTTCCTGAAGCGGAACGTCAACACATTCGTTCAGCGTTGGTCGCTGAGTGACTGTCGGTAAACAATCGACCAGTCATTTTAGCTGAGAATCACATTGACGATATATGACGTCTGTTATCTTTTTTTTCACGATAAGTAGAGGGAGAAAAATGCACAATCATGTACAGTAAACGTTAATTATTTTAACTTATAGGTTATCTTATAAGTTACATCAAATTACATATAAATTCCCTACATGTTCCCTACATATTCCCCACAAAAAAGTGAATCCTTTGAAAATACGTAATTGAAATAATTTGTTTCATAATTTTCCTATAATAATTATAAATAATTCGCTGGTAAGCATACTTATCATCGGAAACATATACGATATAATATCTACTTGAGAGTCATTGTGGTAAACATCAGGCTTATCGATTTGAAAATCGCGTTACAATTTGAGATATATGATAACATCCTGCATATTTATACATTCTGCATAATTATGAAATTAGAATCTTAAGTCGTGATGACAATTGAACATAAAAACTTATCTCACAGGTCGCGATGTCGCATGCGGCAGTTGGTACTCGTAATCGCTGCAATAGCAGCATTACTGTTCGGAGCGATCATTGGCTTTAGCATCGGCAGCGTTCAGTGTATTTGCGGCCGCAGCTCGGATTCACCGAACAACGAATTCTTGGTGCCACCCGACCCGGAGAACCCGCAGCCGCCGTCCTGGAGCGAGTTGAGAACCTTCAGGCAGAGCGCGGTTTGCGCGGATGGGGCGCCGTGTGCTGTTATTGGCAAGTACGTGCGAAACCCACGCGAGACCTGCGTATTACTTGAGCGATCTTTTAGAAAAAATCGATTTTCCAATCGATCTTGAATCGGAATCGATTTACTGAAAAAGTCGGACTAAAGGAATCGAGAGATCGATTCAAGAGGCCGCATGCAATGAAAGGTCTAGGGAATAGAATTTAATTTAAATTTTGGGAGAAAAGAAACGAAAGCTAAGGGAATGTTACTTCGTTTCGATCACTCGAGAGTGGAAAAAGTGTTTTGTTTTCTAAATTTCAGCACTCGACTCGGCAGACGTGTCCGTTAAACTCCGCAAATCATGAAATGGAAAACCGTACGCGGAGAAGCCGAGGCAAAGAACGCAATTCCGCGCGGTCACCCGCGAGGATTTCCCGAGCTTCGTTAACGACGTCCGAAAATCAGATATCAGCTAGAAAATATCATAAATATTAGGTTATTGCCTGGCTATAAAAACGTGAGGGAACATCGAGAACGTCTGGGAAGAAATTTATTGCATCCGGGTGTCCCAGCGTCGAGAACCGATACACACCACTCTCTCATCCCTTTATCTCAGTTAACTTGGATCACGCCACATTTTCCCGTTGGTCTAAGACTTCTCAACAAAGAAGCCCTAACTATGAAATACGACTATCCCCTTCCATTCACGAGCTCAGCCAATCAACATTTTCAAAGGACAAGTCCATTCTTCACCCACTACATCTTAGGTATCTCAGGAAAATCGAAGGAAATCGATAGCTTTAATCTCGTGCTTCCCTTCGCGCCGATAAATTTCCCCCTTTTTACGACTCGTCGGGAACAGACTTCTTTTCTTTTTCAGGTCGATCCTAGAACAGAACGGTTCGGCGGTGGATGCCGCGTTGGCTGCACTAATATGCAACGGACTCGTGAACATGCAGAGCCTCGGCTTTGGCGGCGGATTTATGATGACGATTTACGAGAAATCCTCACGCCGAGCTTTTGTGTTAAACGCGAGGGACCGCGCGCCTTTGTCAGCGAATTCGACAATGTACGAAGGCAAACCTGCGAATGCGTCTTCCTTCGGTGAATATCCCCACGAATTTTTCACAAGAATCTCGAGGGTCGAAATTTTGATACTACTCTGACGCTCTTAACCTGTTAACCGAGGAATACATTTTTTTTTCTTTGCGTTCAAAATACTACGACAAATTTCCATGACGAAAAATGTCGTCATGCCCATTGCAGTAGCAGTTCGTGTATGACGAAATATTTCATCATACCCAGTTAACAGATTAAGGATGATTAGCGCCTACTTAGATGGCCTGCAGACTAATACCGGCATTTATTAATTTCTCTTTCGAACTCTTAACAGATTTTATTTTAATGCTATTTTGAACAATTCATTATGTATTAAATTATTAATTATAACTGCTGTACCAAAAAGAGATATTTCCTGTAAATAAGTAGAAATAATAATAATAATAACTTATCTTGCTAAAATAAAGCAAAAGGAAATTGAAGACAATCAGAATCAAAGTTGGAGTAAATTATATGATTAGAATTGAACCTATATATATATATATTGCTATCTTCTACTGCATTGTAGAACTAAGGGTTTAAATTTTCCAAGGGCCGAAATAAACTAAGGACCGAAATTTCGATTCGGGATATGTCTCGATTATTTCATTCGGACGAAAACATTTATGTGTCTGCTCCATTAGGCGCGCTTGCAGTCGCCGTTCCCGGCGAATTGGCCGGTTACTGGGAGGCTCATCGACGATTCGGTAAATTGCCATGGATGGATTTGTTCAAACCGAGTATCGAGCTCTGCGAGAAGGGCTACACCTTAACGTTGGTGCAGTATGACAGCCTCGGCTACAATAAGAACAGTATTTATAACGATCCGACTCTGAGGTACGTGGCGTCGGGATAATCGCACGCGTCAGATTACTCGTGAATCGTTCGTGCCGTGTGCGTAGTAACATCGTCGAACGCAATATCCTTCTCATTCTTTTAGAGAATTGTTTGTCGATCCCACAACTAACGAATTCCGTAAACCAGGATCCATCATTAAACCCAAGAAACTTTGCGAGACGCTGCGAATTATCGCCGAGAAGAACGCCACGGAATTCTACAACGGCACGATCGGACGACTTCTCGTCGACGACCTGCGAGAGCAAGGTGGCATCATAACAATGAGGGACCTCAATGAGTACAGGTAATCTATTCTCTGTTATAAATATGTGCGTTCACCCTTGTCGTTCCAATTTCTTCACGATAGCTCCGGGCAAACTTTCGTCTCGAATGAGGTGTCTCTTCAGCAAATTTCGAGAGTACCAACTGTGCGTCCTTCTTCGGACGTTACGGTATGCCGCTCAAGCGCATTCTTTCCTCAGGGTCTCATGGGAGCGACCGATACAGACGAATCTTTCGGGCGGCTTGAATCTCTTCACGACGGGGCTGCCAGGTAGCGGCGCGGTGCTTTCGTTCATCCTGAACGTCTTCGACGATTACGGCTTCTCGCCGGCTAGCATAGCTGACTTCAACGCGACGATTCTCACATATCACAGAATGATAGAAACATTCAAGTACGCGTACGCGTTGAGGACGAATCTGGGCGATAGAAATTTCGTCGATATGACCGAGGTAAGCACACTTGACCCGTCAATTCATCGACAATGATAAAATATACGGCTTAACTCTCAGATGTTGTTGCCTGTTCGACCCGACCGCCGTATCTTGTTTGTTTTTTTCTTTCCTTTCACGCAGATAATGAAGAATCTCACGTCGAAGAGCTTCGCGCGTCAGATGCGCGAGAAAATAAGCGACGACAGGACGTGGCAGGACACGCGACACTACGGCTCGTTAATCGGCGCCGGTTTCGAAGACCACGGCACTGCGCACGTGTCGGTGCTGGCGCAGAACGGCGATGCCGTGTCGGTCACCAGCAGCATCAATTACTAGTAAGCGACTTTTCGCTTCGTCGCGCCGATTGTTTCTCACGTTCTCCCTGCGATTTTGCAGCTTCGGTAGCGGACTGGTCAGCCGGAGGACCGGCGTACTCATGAACAACGCTATGAACGATTTCGGCATCCCGTCGAGGCTCAGTTACTTCGGCGTGCCGCCCAGTCCCAACAACTACATCGCCCCCAAGAAGCAGCCGTTGTCCTCGATGGTGCCGTCCGTCCTGGTCGATCGTTACGGCGACGTCAAGATGGTCGTGGGTGCCGCTGGTGGTACGAAAATCACGACCGCGGTATCCCAGGTTCGTAACGGCTTCGACTCCTTCCTCTTGTTATTATTAATTCTAAAATCACACCTTCCCTCCGATTTCATCATACTGAATGTACGGCAGCTACTTTCAACTAATTAATGATTCCTCGAGAAGTGGATATCTTTTGATCGTATTTATGCTTCATTTAAACGTCAGAATGTCAGGAGCGCGCCCGTGTCACTGCAATTACGATCGACGTTTCGAAAAGGAAAGTTAATTTAGGTAAAAGCCCGAATAGAAATTTCTCAATCACGAAAACCGGTGTTTGCTTCAAAAAATTACAGTTTCCTTATAAAGCCGTGTTGCATAAAAGGAAGAGTCATCGTTCAAAGATAAAGGATATAACTTTCGAAAATATCAGAAACAACGATATGACGCACAGGTGTAGCACACGCAAAACCAAACGGCAACGCATGGGAAGTCATAGAGGGAGAACAAAAGTTACTTCCCTCTTCAATTCCGACTTCGTATCTTTCATTATGTAGAAACAGCACGAGTGTGGTATTCCAAGGTTATTTCGGAGACACGAGACACGCGGTCGCTTCATTTCCAGGTGATGGCGAAAATCCTGTGGATGGGACAGACGGTCAAGGAGGCGGTGGACGCGGCGAGGATACACCATCAGCTGTTCCCGCCGAAGCTGGAGTACGAGTACGGTGTCTTGAAGCAGGTGATTGACGGCTTGAAGCGGCTGGGACACGTCACGAAGCGCTACAGGGCGCGGGGCAGCGTGGCCTGCGTGATTCTGTACGAAAATTCGACGATCTTCGCGAACGCTGACTACCGCAAAGGCGGTGACGTTTACGGGATCGATTGATCCGTCGTCTCCGTCGGCCGAGCTCCCCCAAATCACATCGGCTCGACTCAATCTTAACACGACTTTCCGTTGATCGCAGCAGACCTCACCGACGAAGTTGCGCGTCTCGCGCCGACGTGTGCATTGCGTCGTCAGCGAGAGACATTCGCTTTGGAAAGGTCGTCGCGTAGGAATCGTTTGCTCTTGTTTAATAAAATTTTTACAACTTTCCGGCTGGCTGATTTACGCGTTATCCTTGCGTCGATCGCATTCTTCCCGGCGACAATATGTCCGCATTTTCTCGACTTCGTCGCTCCCCTTCGAGGCGTTTTCCAGCTTTGTCGCTTTTCTTCCGACTGCCGACAGGAGCTACGCGCATGAATCGATACATAGAGACGGAAAAAGAGAGAGGGACAGCAAGTCACACAAGAATCGATGAATTTCACGCTTCTCGAACATCGGGGTTCGCAGGGTGCGTGAATTCTCAGAACGTAGCGCGCGACTATACAACAATCGAGCGTGGTACACGTGTCGGAACGTTTCCAGTCGCGCTTTTTATAGGTTCAGAGCTTTGACGTCGGCACCGTCGCGATTTATCCCCTATTTCGAGCCCACCTTCAATTATGCAGCCAGGTGCTTCACCCCTGCAGCAGCACAATACCGCCCCCCCCCCCCCC